GTTGAGTTAATGGAGTTTATTGAAGTCTTTATCTACTTTTGCCTATATTTGCAATTTTTTTCATTATAAAAACCCATCTACAATTTAGAGTTTTGAGGTTTTTTCACCTGTAGATTGTACACGCTTTAAGGAGGGGAGTATGGCTTGTTTATTTTTGAATCTCTGTTGCCTTGTACAGTTACTGGCAATTGTAGCATGCACTTAGTGTTTGTTGAAGAAATGAATTAATAAGCAATAATTTATTTTAATAGTTCTTTAATATATCAAGTGCATGTGCTCTAAAACATAATATATTCATTGAAAGGCATTTAAAAAATCTTAGGCTACCTTTGAGGCTAATAAAAGTATTTGAATTTTTAAAATATATTTAAGATTCCTTGTTACTTTGTTAAAGCCAAATTTATTAANCCAAATTGATCTATAGATCAAATTCTAATGAAATCACAATTGAAGGTTTTATGGAATTAAACAGGCTGACTCTGAAGTTTATGTGGAAGAACAAAGGATCAAAATAACAAGACAATCCTGAAGAAAAAAATTAAGCGGGATTCTGGCCCAACTAAGTATAAAGACATTAAAAAGCTCTAGTGTGTTATTGGCTCAGGGATAAGTAAAATAAACTAATGGAGTAGACTATGGTGCTTAGAAACAGACTGTGTCACTCTGTAAGGAAAGGATGAAATATTCAGGAAATGCTGCTGGTTCGGTTGTTTATTCAGATAGGGAAACTATACACAAAAGATTAACAGCCTTTTTCATTTATTGTTGTGTTCAGTGTGTGCTGTACACTTATTTCATATTTTGGAAAGTACTCCCTTAAGAGAGTACTGGCAAGATTTGTATGGTTGCTTTAACAAAGTGGGTAAGTTAGATAAACTGGGATACCTTGGGGGCAAGTGATTGTTTAGTAAAGGGTAGGAGGGCAGGAGAAGAATTGAAACGTGATAAAAGTATGCTTTATTATATAAATTTTGGGTTTTTTTTATTGCTGTTCTTTAAAGGTTTGCTCTGTGATTTGCTGTGGTCTGACCCAGATAAAGATGTGCAAGGCTGGGGAGAAAATGATCGTGGTGTTTCGTTCACTTTTGGAGCTGATGTAGTCAGTAAATTTCTGAATCGTCATGATTTAGACTTGATTTGTCGAGCTCATCAGGTATGAAATATAAGACTCTTGCATATTTTAACAACATTTGTTAACTTCACACAAGCCCTCTTTTTTTATTTTTGAGGGAACTGAGGTCCAAGAAAGCTAA